AATATGGACAACATACTTCATTCTGGACTTAATGCCAATCTGACCACTGTTTCACCTAAACTGAAAAGGTCAAGGGGTGGAGGCCAATGTGCACAGAATACCCGCAAGCTCATTGGTATTTTGTAAAGCATTTTACCATCGTTTTAACTAAATCCTTACATAAATAACACTAGGAGATGAGTATTCTTTCCCCATATTACTGTGAGAAAGTTTAGGCTCAGAAAGAGAAAGTGACTTCACTGAAGTCACCTACCTGGGAACTCTGGGACAGGTTTTTTTTTTTTTAATTTATTTATTTATTTATTTATTTATGATAGTCACACAGAATGAGAGAGAGAGGCAGAGACACAGGCAGAGGGAGAAGCAGGCTCCATGCACCGGGAGCCCGACGTGGGATTCGATCCCGGGTCTCCAGGATCGTGCCCTGGGCCAAAGGCAGGCGCTAAACCGCTGCGCCACCCAGGGATCCCTGGGACAGGATTTAAACCTGGATCTGACCCTCACTCTTCTATACTGGTGGTTCTAAAACTTTAGCATGCACGGAATCACTTGCAAGGCTTGTAAAAACAAGCAGGGCCCACCCCCCAGATGGCAAGTAAGTTCTAGAACTGACATTTCTAAGAGGTTCCCAGGTGCTGTGATGCCTCTGGCCCAGGGACCTCACTGTGAGAACCACTGCCCTGACCTATGATGCCCATTAACCAATTTGGAAGTGTTCCTTGAGCACTTGCTCTGTGCCCAACCCTGGGGACACAGAACAAGATGACAGCATTGTCCTTATCCTCATAGAGGTAAGATTTTGGAGGAAAGAACAATCACCCCCCCCCCATGAAAAAGTCCGAGGAAAGTATCGGGTACTGTCTCCTAGGTGGTAAAACTGGGTGGTCTGAAGGCACAGGTGAGGAAGGAGGCAGGAAAGAGCAGAATCTGCTGGAAAAGGCAAGGCTGGGGCTGGGTTTTGTGAGACTTGGAGAGCTGAGAGGAGGGTAGCCAGGATTTAGGGGGGAAACACACAGGGCTTATCTGGGAAAATGCGAAGGACTCAGAGCACACCAGCCCGTGAGATCAAGGAGCTTCATAATGATGATTACGATGATGGCAGCAGCTACCATTTGTGGGGTCATTACCTCAGGCTGTCAGCCACTGGACAGGACTCTTCACAAACACCATCAAATTTAATCCTCAAAGCAACCTGATGCAGTTAGTAATAGCTCCACTTATGGCCACTGCCCTCTGCTACTTGTAGATGTGGACTCGAGGGCCCAACAATGGGACTGAAACTGGACACACAGGTGTCCCCAGACTCACCAGACTGTATTTCTGGGGTAGGAGAAGAGAAACAGGAGCTGGAATGTGACATGTTAGCCCTCTGCCTGCCACAGGCATGTGTTTATACCAACTAGCTATGGAAGACTCTTCAGTGGCTTATAGCAATTTTAAGGAAGGATTAATATCTAAAACAGAAATGCTTGACTACCTGGTCTGGTTTAGTCTTTTCCCATTCAAATAGGCCAGCAGTTGCCTTAAAGGGAGAAAATGAAACAGGTGATAGTTCTGTGATTGCAGGGCCCGGGTGACTGAGATAAAGCTGAAGGGTTTCGTCCACCCTTTCTGTATCTTGTTCTGTGGAACAGAGCAGCTGGGTGGGATGTCCCACCGTAGGGTGAGTCTACGGCCACACAAGACTGGGAAAGTCCAGATCCTCTATCCCCGCTGCTGTAGTTGCAAAGCATCTTTCCTAGATTGAAGGCTGTGTGAAGTTTTTCAGTGTAGAAACCAGCTTCTCTTGGTGTTACTTCCTCATTTTCCAAACGTAGTTTATCATGAGCTACATTTTGAGACCACCCAATGCCCCATGAAGCTCAGCACCGTGGCAAACACAGCAAGGTACGCCAGGCTCTGAGAATGCTGCCCTAGAAGTGTTCACAGCACAAAGGGCAGCAGGGAGAGCCTTTAATTCCACATCCTGTGGCCTCATTCCAGGCTATGTGGCTTGGTTGTCCCTGGGTCCGATTCCATAAGCCATGCAGCAGAAGTTAAATGAGGTACCATAAAAAGGCCAGGGGTTAGAGAGTGATTGGTCCAGCTCAGCCTGGACCCTATAGTACCAGAAAACAATTGCTGTGTGGTGAAGACGGTACAGTAGAGCTCCAGGAAACATAAACTGCCCCAAACGGGGAGGTGTCATCCAGCTGGATCTAGCAGTCCCTGTGGGCCCAGGGAAATTGTAAAGATGACTCACTCAGAAGTATTTGGGCGGCCACAGAAAGTGCACAAACTCGAGTGGTCTGACCTTTTGACAAGAAGAAGCTGTGTTGCTTTCCTTAGGTTATACAGTGAGGGAGTGATAAAGGTGGAATATGAACTCAGAATGGCCTGTCTCCGGGTCAGCCCAGAGCTTGTGGAGTGCTGTGCTAGCCCCGGAGACAGGCCATTCAGAGTTCATATGCCACCTTTATCACTCCCTCACTGTATAGCCTAAGGAATGCAACACAGCTTCTCTGAGCCAGTTTCCTCATTGATAAAATGGAGATAATATAATATTTATCTCATGGGTTTGTTGGGTGAGGTTTCCCAAAGGAGTTTCCAGGGGCACCATTCCTGGTTGGTTCCAAGGCTTGTCTTAATTTTCACCTCAAATATTACCAAGGGTCCACATAGAGTAGCCCCCAGATCATCTAACCTAAAATTCAGTTCCTCTCTTCTTCATAAGATTAATTCTCTCTCCAACTTTCCTGTATCTCATCTTAACTCCCAAGCTCAAAACCACTGTCTTCTCCTCCCAACCTGGTCCCTTCACACATATCCATCCAGTTATCAAACCTCGTGATTGCATCTTCATGCTTAGACAAGTTACTTAACCTCTTTGGGCCTCCATGTCATCATCTATGGCTTGAGGAGTAGGTCTTAAATCATGGCTTTCAAATTTCTTAAACCATAGAAGTCTCTTTAAACACCCCCTGATGAGGAAATCTAGACCTAAAACCACCCAGAGATTCTGGGTCTAGGATAAGACCCAGAAATCTCTAGTTTTCACATCTCCCCACGTGATCCTGATGGGCAGTGAGCTTTGGGACTCACTGGTGAATTCTTAGAAATGACAGGTTCTCAACCAATAGTCATGAATGATATTAGAGCAAGGCACTGGCATTCATGTGCTAGCTCATGCCAACTGCAACCTGTTTTTCCTTTCAACTTAGGATACAGGCATATAATCCTTTTACCTTCTAGGCTGCCTAATGTTACTTGAAATTATTTCCTTTATGATAAAGGCTGACTATACAATTTCAGGTCCAAAGGCCCAGCTGGGGCCCTTCCCCATGCAGGTGTTATACTGTTGTGGGTTCCCACCTGTGGCCAAACTGCTGACCCACAGTGAAGTCTAACCAGTCAGCTTTAGTTTCTTCTTGGCCCTTTAGGAGAAGAGTGATAGTCACTAAAGATCCAGAAGGAAATGAGTCAGAAAGTAATGGGAAGCGAGGACAAAGGAAGTGATACTTGGATGCCATGAAAGGGTAGCAGAAAGGGTGGGGGTAGGGCCAGTGGAGGTGTTAATTCTCCATATTGCCAGGAGCTTCCTAAACTGTTGGTAACTGCTGGTCTTCCTCATGGGCACAATAGTATTTATCCCCCACCAGACAGCCCACAATGTGAAGTTTAATTTCTGACCTACCACAGAGATGGGGCTGGGATTCTCAGAGACAGAGCACTCAATGACTCTGAATTATTCTTACTCTTGAGGCCATTATTACCTGTAAGTTCTCAAAAAGACCAATGTCAGTGTTTTTGAAAACTTCCAGGTGGAATTTCTGGAAAAAAAAATGTTAAAGATTTAGATTAGCATCCAAAAATATCTGGAGAATTCACAGACATAAAGGAGACCCAATATAGATACTAAGATACTAAGAGCTTTATAATGTTTATAACGAGTTCCAGAATTACCCTCTGTTTCTAAATCTATTCTACAGGACAGTGACATTTTACACTCAACCAGAGGTTAACAAGAAGTTTGGCTCTACACTTAGCTTCATACTGTCAAAATCAAAGCTTAGTAAATGAAACACCCCACTGAAGAGCACACTCCTTTCTTTTTCTCTCTCTCAAATAAATAAATAAAAACTTTTCTAAAAAGAGAACTGCTACAGAATTTGATGGAAAAAAATCAAGGCAAAGAAAAGATGTAAATGGAGTAAATGTGGCAAAATCTTGATAATGGCTGAATCTGGGTAATGGATGTGTGGTGTTCCTTGTACTTTACTCTCTGGTTTGTTTTAACTTTTCACAGTAATAAAAATATAAACAATTATTCATCTCTTCCTCAAAAGCTACAAAAGAAATCTTTGCACAAGTATTTACTGTCTGGCATATGCTTAAAATTGTCCTGGGGGCCATGACTGAGCCTATCTAAGTACACCCCAATCTGCTTTAAAAACAGGAGTTTATATGTATCCTTACTTGCCATGGACATTTAACAAAAGGTCTGCTTTTACCCATGATCTAGCCTGGTTATTTTTAAGTGGTCTTTTTTTCTTTTCTTTTTTTCTTTTCTTTAAAAGTGGTCTTTTAAAACATGAAGTCTTTTATTCAGCAACTCTTAGAAGGAAATCCAGTATGTCAGATAGAATGGAGCCTCTATGCAGGAGGGATGTGTGTGTATGCATGTACTTGCATGTGTGTGTGTGTGTGTGTGTGTGTGTGTGTGTGTGTGTATGAACACACTGACGCACTGGGAATTGCAGCTTAGGGGTGAGCCCTGCCTGCTACCCCCCCCCCCCACAACCATCAGAGCTCCTGAGAAAGCTCCAACACCCTAGGTTTCCAGACGATTGACTGAGATGCACAAACTGGCCAAGTGTGAGACAACTCTTGTTTCCCATTTGAGCAAAGAAATGTGAGCTGCCCACGGTCTGTGTCTCTGGTCCTGAATGTTTGGCCTTGTTAAAGAAATGAATGAGTCTGGCTGAGCACATCATAACCTCCACAACTGCCTTTGCCAACAGATATTGATTTTGCCACCCGCAAGATCGCAGTGCGTCTGACTCAGACGAAAATCATTGATCAAGACGGCGATAACTTCAAGACGAAAACCAACAGCACGTTCCGCAACTATGAGCTGGATTTCACTGTAGGAGTGGAGTTTGAGGAGTTCACAAAGGGCCTGGACAATCGGACTGTGAAGGTGAGGACCCGGCCTGGCAGTTTCTGCTCAAATAGTCTGAGTGCAGGAGCCAGCTATCTGGCTTCACGATGAAAATACGACAGAAACAACTAGGGAAGGATCAGGAGAGGGAACCAGAGTGGACTTAATGATACTGGCAATAAGCAATTATTGGAAGCTCAGCAGGAAAGGCAAACTGGCTTCTACAGTAAGATTATAAGCAAAGGAGAGAGGGGACGCTGCCGACCTCTCCAGGACCTGGGCAGGAGGCCAACTCCTATGCCAACATGGGCCTGGCGGGCAAGGGGGATACCATAGGGAGTGACAGTGATTTCGAGAGCTGGGTAGCACAGCTTCATCGGGGCAGCCCTACTCAGCAGCAGCCAAGCATTGCCATGGAGCACTGGGGCCTCCTGTTGCCAGACTTCCTTTTTCTTTTCAAGAGATGTTGAGAATTCACACATTTTTATATGAAATACCTCAATCTTGGATGATCTCAGCTAATTTGATTTTCTTAAGGAAAATGCAGTGTTAATAAAAAAAAAAAAGTCAGTAGACTAAAGAAGTCAAGGTTTTCCCAGTGCTAGTCACTTAGAGAAACCTCTGGCACTGTCCGGATGACTTCTGTCCCAGCATCACCTTAACTCACAGAACATAATCGAGGAAATCCTTGCGCATCGGAAGGCCAGACCTCCAGCCACTTGAACTGCTCAGATACAGGTAGGGCCCTGAAAGTGAGCAGACAACTTTGAGTGTACAAGGGGGGAGTTATCTCAAAGCCTGAGAACTGGACTCTGCAGAGAAAGCGGGCCCTCGCCCAGAGGAGCTGTCTGTAAATAAAGCAGAGAATGACAGCAGCAGAGAGAAGTGGGGCTGGGGGCAGGGAGCAGGGGGAGGCAGGGTCACAGCAGGTCCCCCTCTCCTTTTGCATCACCCTGTGGTATCATAGCCACATGGTTCCTGCAGTGTTCCAACCATTGCAGTGCTCACACTCATACTCAGGGCACCTGTCTTTGGTTCTCCAAATCCAATTACACCTGTGCAGTCCCCACAAACAGGAATGGGGAGAAATGCAATCTCAGTCATACTTAAGGATTCCCCCATTCCAATCTTTTTAAGAAGATTTTATTTATTTATTTTATTTTATTTTATTTTATTTATTTATTTGAGAGGGTGCATGACGAAAGAAAGTGCGAGCAAGAGGGAGCGTGAGTTGGGGGAGGAGCAGAGGGAGTGGGAGAAGTGGATTCCCCACTGAGCAGGAAGCCTGATGCAGGGCTTGATCCCAGGACCCTGAGATCATGACCTGAACCTAAGGCAGATGCTTTAAGCAACTGAGCCACCCATGTAGCACTCCTCCCCACCCCCCCACCTCATTCCAATCTTAGCATCATGGTTTACACAGTCCAGGAAACCGGGAAGGATTTCTGGTTTGTCATTTAGCATGGTTGCCACTGGCCACTCACTGTCCAGGCTCCTGCAGTTTATACAAGGGTGGGCAGCTTGCATATTTATAGCACCCACTCCCTCCATGCCAGTGGAGCCACCAGGACCTCTGCTCTGGTTCCCAAAGTAAGGGAGGGCAGTGCTGAGGATCCTATCCCCAGCTATCTGTGCCCCCACCGCAAGAGTGGGCCAGCCCTTCAGAGTACCACATGGAAGCAGGACCTTTCATCCTGCCCTTCCCCTTTCTCTCTCCAGTCCCACTCTTCTCTGCTCCCAGGAGCTCTTTAAAAGTCAGGGATCTCAACTCTCCCCCCAAAGCAAGGGTTGTGAGCTTTGGCTGCTCTCCTGGGGTGGGGAGAAAAAGCTGTCATCATTCTTTGGCGATGACTCTAAAGCCAAGAGAGCAGGACACATTTTATTTCTCCATCAAGTTGTCCTGCAGCATTGATAATCTCAGCCATCAAGTCAAGGTTGAATTATATTTAGTGCTCCTTGCTAAAGAAAAGTGGGAAATGAAAAGCACTTTGGAACTGCTTCCATCAGAGCAGTCTTGGCATAAGAGCCTAAGCTTCCGGGCTTGGAACAGCTTCTGTAGAATCCCTCCCTGAGGGGTTGATGGATCGACAAGACTTCTCTGAACTGTGTGGCTAGAAGGCCAATTCCTCAGACACCAGAACTGATGGGAAATTTGTCTCTGAATTTTTGCATCACTCTGCTGTTCCAGCCTAATCTGTTCACAATGATTCATTTCCCCTTGCCTTTCCATTCTGGAAAGCAGGCCTGTTGTCTCTGACTTGTTCTTTCATCACCTTTGATAGTAGAGAACTCACTTTTCCTAAGATAAGTCACGTCCTTTCAACCCTTCCTGACCGTTAGAGGATTTTGGCTCTCAATACCCACTGTTGTGCCTCTTCGCCTTCCATTCTCCCTGCCTTCCCCACCCCCCCACCCCGGGAGCCCCATCATGTCCCCAGGATCAGCTCTTGTCCTTCAAAGAGAGAGAGAGAATCCCCCTTCCCATTTCTTATCTCTGCTTTGTCCACAACAAAAAGTTAGGGCACACGCACACGCACATGCACACACGGGATGGGTTGGGGCTGAGAAGTCACCAGAACAGAATTTGCCCAGTCTCCAGCAAAAGGCTGTTCCCATGAGAATCACAATCCAGAGCAGATACCCTCAGGACTACATACTTCCTATAATTTGACCAAAACCCTTCAGCTGGAAAGGGATCACAGGGAGCAAGTGAATCAATCTCTGATTATTTTCCGTTGCCGCATGTGGTGGCATGCCTGAGTGCACACAACACTGTGTGTCTGTGTGCATGTGCACACATGTGCATGTGTGTGTCTGCTTGTGTGCAAATATGTCCTGTGCACATGTGCATGCATCTGTGTGTGTGTGCATGTGTGTGTGAGCCTGCACATGTGTGCATGCATCTGCACGTGCCTATGTGCAGGTGTTGCAGTAGTACTCATGCTCTTATTCTTCAGGGATCTACTTCTGAATTCCTACATCACCCTCACGAGAACCTCCCCATTTGGAAGTTTGGGGGAGAGATGTGTGTGGGGTGGGGTTCTAGCAGAGGTGGAATAGAGCCCTAAAATGCCCAGATCTATGCCATCCCAGAGCAGGAATGGTGGCATCACTTTAACTGTGAGGTCAACTCTTTGTGGGACCCAGGAACCCCCACCTTTTTTCCTTCCTGTAGATCATATATATTCTTCACTTACTGCCTTAATTTGTTTCTAAGAGGATTTAAAGCCCCTTTCAAAAATACACAGGCTACTCAGAATAAAATTTAAAAGAAGTAACTGATCCTCCTGTAATGGAATAGCATGCAGGCGTAATAAGGAATGGATCACCCATTTATACTGCCACCCGCATGAACTCGGGAAACATCCTGCTAGGTGAGGGAAGTCAGACACAAAGCCTACGTATTGTGTGACTTATATGAAGTGTCCATGTTAGGCAAATCCCTAGACACAGAAAGTGGTTGCCAGGGGCAGAGGGAATGAGGAGTGATGGCTGATTGGGGAGGGGTTTCTTTGGGGGGCAATAAAAATGTTCTGGATTTGGACAGTGGTGATAGTTTTATAACCTTGCAAATATACTAAAAAATGAATTGTACTTTAAAAAGGTAAGTTTTGGGATCCCTGGGTGGCTCAGCAGTTTAGCAGCTGCCTTTGGCCCAGGGCATGATCTTGGAGGCCCAGGATCGACTCCCACGTCAGGCTCCCTGCATGGAGCCTGCTTCTCCCTCTGCCTGTGTCTCTGCCTCTCTCTCTCTCTCTCTCTCTCTCTCAGGAATAAATAAAATCTTTTTTTTTAAAAAAAGGCAAATTTTATTGTATGTGAATTATGTCTCAAAAACAATAAGTAGGGGTGCCTGGGTGGCTCAGTCGGTTAAGCATCTGCCTTCGGCTCAGGTCATGATCCCAGGGTCCTGGAATCAAGCCCCACATCGGGCTCCTGCTCAGTGGGGAGTCTGCTTCTCTCTCTCCTTCTGCCCCTGCTGATGTTCTTTCTCACACGCTCACTCTCACTCTCTCTCAAATAAATAAATAAAATCTTAAAAAAGGACAATAAGGATTTGGTGTGGATAATCAGGACAGGGGAAAGCACAGATGATGGCAGTTGGAACAAATGATGTCTGTGAGGCCCAGGGAAAGCAGGCTTCTCTCGGAGGTCCCTACTTGGGGGAATTGCAGGAGGGGAGCTTGGGTGCTGCCAAAATAGCTCTTACACAAAGGCAGATGCGCTGGGAGGGCTTAAAGACGTTCATAGTGCCTTTCGTCAGGCTTAATTTAAAAAGCTGTTATTTTCCTTAAAAAAACAAAAACAACAAAAATCTTTGAAAACTGATTCAAATCTACAGGAAAGTTGCATGAAAGTAGCAAAGAACATCTGTGTATTCTTTGCCGAGAGCTACCTATTGTCAATATTTTGCCCCATTGGCTTTATCTTTTGTACTTGCTTTCTTGCCATTATATACATATTCTTTTCTGAACAATCTGATGTGTTACCTCTAAGTAACTCAGTGTTTCCTATGAATCAGGATATTATCTTATAAATACACAGTACAGTTATCCGCCTCTATGAATTTAACAGTAAGACAAGACAGTACCTTATCTAATTTCCCATACAGGGCTGTTTTTAACAACGTTAATTTGGACACAGAGGGAGATTGCAGCGTGGGCTCAGTTTTCTTCTTTAATTCAACGCAAGCACGTCTTCTTCATCCTCTGGCTCAGTAGCAATGGTTTTCCTCATTTATATCCATCTCCTCAACCTCAAAATCTTTTAAGGCAATTGAGCCTCTTTCAAAAACCTCCTCTGAATTGTGGGATTTTAGTTCTTTAACTGCTCTCTCTTCTTACTGTCTGTTTTATGTAGGAGTAAGGCTATGATATTGTAAGTATTACCATAATTCATTGGTAACCAATTTACTTAGGGTCAGAATAACTTTTAATCTTGCTGCCTACTAAGATTTATTAAAAGAAAACATGAAGACAGGCCCTCGTGCACCAACATTTTTCTTTTTTCTTCCTTCTACAAATTTGCCAAGCCCCTACTATGCATGAGACCTGAGTCAGGGGCTATGTAATGAATCAGAGCCCTTTCTGCCCTGAAAGATCTCACAGCCTCATGAGGAAGCAGACAAGTAGATGGACAGTTACCATCCAGTGTCCATAGTGATGGTCGTATGCACACACCAGGGGGACCATAGAAACCAAGGCAAGGAAGCAGACTGGCCGAGTCGTTGTCAAGAATCATCATCAGTGAAGAATACATACGCTCATTTATTCTCCCACATGGACTTACCTCAAGATTCCATTTCAACAAAATAACTCAATCACAGATCTTCATTCAACACTGCTCACCAAGCACCTTTTCTGCACTAGTGACTATGCTGAATCTGAGTTTGCAGAAATGAACAGCTGATGTGGCCTCTTCTTTCATGGAGCTTACTATCTATTGGGGGAGAAAGACACTAGTTCAATCAACATGTTTTAGGTGTCCTTGATGGGGAAGGCAATGTGGGTTGGGGGAGGTTTTTTAGAAGACATAGTCTTTGCCCAAATAGAAGACAAGAGTCCTTTCCCATCCTTTTGGGAGAGAACTGAGTCCCAAATCTAATGATGGGCAACAACACATGAATATTCCTTTCTCATCTTTTTGAGAGGGAATTCTGGAATATTCCAGACAACATCTCCCTCCCAGAAGAGCAAGTGATGTAAGCTTCTCTAAGACATTCAAAGAGGTGAGGCTTAGGGTGGCCCCGAAGAAGAAGACATATTTTCTTTAAAAAACATGCAGAGTTTTATTGTTAAATTAATTTAGGGAATATTAATACATGCAGATGGTTTTAAAAAATTTAAATAGTGGGATCCCTGGGTGGCGCAGCGGTTTGGCCCCTGCCTTTGGCCCAGGGCACGATCCTGGAGACCCGGGATCGAATCCCATATCGGGCTCCCGGTGCATGGAGCCTGCTTCTCCCTCTGCCTGTGTCTCTGCCTCTCTCTCTCTCTCTCTGTGACTATCATAAAAAACAACAACAACAACAACAAAAATTTAAATAGTAAAAGTGAAATTTCCTTCCTATCCTGGCCCCCAACCTCTCCAATCCTTCCCTAGGGACAGTCACTATTAAGGGATCTTTTGCTTCCTTGCAGAGAACATGTGCAAACATATGCATGCATACAGGGTCTTCCCTGGTTTTATGCGCATGGACCTGCTCCTTGCTTTTTTAAATTAAGTATACACTATGGAGACTGCCCTCCTCCATAAATATAGAATTGCCTCCTTCTTTCAAGGGCTGCACAGCATGGATGAACTACACATACATATTTGACCAGCCACCCACTGACGGAATCTGTGAGGCTTCCAGTCCTTTGCCATAACAAACAACACTGCGATGTGTTGAGGAGTAAAATGCGGAGGAATAGAATTGTACATAAAATACATAATATGGGGCAGTCTGGTGGCTCAGCGGTTTAGCGCTGTCTTCAGCCCAGGGTGATCCTGGAGACCTGGGATCGAGTCCCATGTCGTGCTCCCTGCATGGAGCCTGCTTCTCCCTCTGCCTGTGTCTTCTGCCCCTCTCTCTCTTTCTCTGTCTCTGTGCCTCTCATGAATAAATAAATAAAATCTTTTTTAAAAAATACATAATATGGTCAAGGCCGAGTCCTATTTTAGAACTAGGTAGACTTAACAATCCGTAGAAAACAAATTTGTCCCCCAAAATAGACCTGAATATGCAAGGACAGTGAATAAAGAAACACAGGTCAGTTTGTCACCAGCTAGGTTTAAAAGAGAGAAAAGCGAACGTCTGTTCCTTAGCATAATATTGTTCATAGAGGAGCAATATGCTTTGCACATACTTGGAAGAAAGCCAGCTGGCATCAGGGTCATCCCTGGGAAAGAACAGTACTGACACAAAACCACAGCCTGGATGGGGGTGACATCATCCTTCAGGAGGTGAATACGCAGTCATAATCTGGGCTCAGAGGCAGGTGGCCCTGGAGAACCACCTCGAGATAGTACAAATGGTCCTGAGGCAGGTACTAGAAGAAATAAAAGGAGAAACAGAAGGCAAAGGAGTTGGGGGTTATATAATTTGTAAGTATGCGCACAGAATTTTGAGCATCTTGGGGTTCAGCAGGTTTATGGCTCCTTTAAACCTGCTGGTCAGCTCAGCCTGGCTGGCCAGCATGAGCTCTGCATCTCCGCTGCCACCCCCATGCTACTAACCAGTCTGCATTGCTGCCTGGAGGAACCCCAGGACCCGGAGGAGGGCCACCCTCGTGGTTCTGGATGATGAGGACGGCACTAGAGCCATCTGTTGAGGTCCCCTGCTAGTTAGGTAGCTTCTCTGCCTGTGTTATTGCCCCACAATAGGCAGTCCTACAATGGGGTTCCTGGAGGGAAAGTCCCCAAGAGCGGAATTTCTAGGTCAAAGAGTATACACAGCATTATGTGTCAAGAGGTAATATAAAATTGCCCTACAAAAGGATTCATCCGATTTATATACCTACCAGCCATTTATGGAGGTGCCAGCTTCTCCACACTTCCTCCAACTCAGTGTGTTATCAGACTCTTTGATCTTTGACCATATGATGAATTGTATCGGAAAAACAGCCTTAATTTGCATTTCTCCTTTTAGGACTAAGGTTGAATATCTTTTCTTATGTTTAAAAGCCATCTGCTGGGTTTTAGTTTTTTGGGCTTTTTTTTTTTCCCCTTGTAAGCTGTTAGCTGGATCCTTTTTTTAAAATTTCCTATTAGGTTAATGGTCTCTCTCTTATTGATTTATGGGAACCCTTTATATATAAGGAAGTCAGGTCTTTGATATGTGTTACAATTATCTTCTCCAGTTTGTTCTTCATCTGTTGATGTTATGCTATTTTGCCCGTCCAGAAATTTTCTATCATTTATAGTCAAATGTGTCGTCTTTTTCCCCCACTGATTTGGAATGCTATCTTCACCATATGGTAAAATGATAGAGTAGAATTTTTTTTTTAAGATTTATTTACTTATTTGAGAGAGAGCAGGGGCAGAGGGAGAGGAAGAGAGAGACTCTCAAGCAGACTCCCTGCTGAGCATGGAGCTGGAAGCGGGACTTGAGCTCAGGACCCCGTGATCGTAACCTGAGCCAAAATCAAGAGTCAGACACGTAACCAACTGAGCTACCTGGGCACCCCTAGAATGCTTTAAAAGAGAACAGAACCAGCCACTATAAGCTGACTTGGCAGGAGTGGAGGATAGATGCAGAAAGTGAGTCTAGCAGACCTTGGCTGGGCAGAGGCTGAGGTCTCTGCCCTGTGGGGGCCTGGCGATGGCCACGGGAACCACAGCTGCAGCCTTAGGTTTATTCAGTCCCAATCAAGACCATACATCTGATTTGCTTGGGAACCTGTCATTGCAGACGCTGATCACCTGGGAAGGTGATGTCCTTGTGTGCGTGCAGAAGGGGGAGAAGGAGAACCGCGGATGGAGGCAGTGGGTTGAGGGGGACAAGCTACACCTGGTAAGTCCCAGGGTCTGCCCAGCTGCCTTCCACGGTGCTTACACAAGCTGCAGGTTCACCCAGCCAGGTGCTTTGACAAGAAAAATGGCCTTGCACTCCTCCCCTGAGCTCCAGCCAAATGCGTGTGGTCATATAGTCAGAAAGCCATTCCCATCTGGCTCAGGGGACTCCAGGAAAGAATCTATATGGCTGTTTCTGTGAACGGCTGCAATTAAAATGAAAGTTCAAAATGCTGAGTTAGGAAGCCGAGATCCAAGGAGAAATACAGGGAACCTGTGAAAGACCAGCCGAAGAGAAATGCGAGGCACAGAATGAAGATGCCCCAGAGGAGGGTGGGTCTCGGCCTCCTCACCATTATGTGAGCCTGGAGGAAGAGGGCTGGGAGTGGGGTGGATAGGGACAGGTGGGTTTAGGAACCACCTTACAGACCACAGGTGTTGGCCTGTCGTCACCAGGTATGTCCACTTAATCCTGAAATATTTTCGGTTAACTCAGTATTAGAACAGAACAGTAGGAATGATGGCTGGTCTCCTGAAATAAATTATATGTGTCTAGATAGCTGAATTTTTCAGTCTTCAATCTTCAAGGCAATTTATGTGTCCAGCATTCAAATAGAAATCTCTCTCCTACATGCATTCAGGCGCTCATTTATTAAATAGCTCTTCATTCATTCAATCATTCGTTCACCTATGGAGTCGGGCAGCTACTTGGCTTACTTGGCTGCAGTGTCAGTATTCAGGTCACCACGGTGCCCTTCAGAGCCAGGCTTGCCTCACCTGAGATCTTTATTTTGGAGGCAGTGTCAACTGGTGATAAATGGGAAGCACTCACCATGTTTTCCATTGACGATTTTCCCTACCTGCACTGGTTTGGATGATGGATTTTTTTAATTGTAGTACAATCCTCAGTGGTCCCTGTGGCTAAGACAATGGATTCATTGTCAACCGCAAAGATTTTGTGGCCATCCACACACTCATATTTCTCCCTCCTCCCTCAAGGAGTCATGAGGTGTGGATAAGGCCTGGGGCCTCCCTCTGTCTGGATGAAAAGCAGCATCTTGTCTGCATAGGCAGGCCTGGGGGGTGCCCTTCTGCAACCCATGCCCTGTCACCCTGTCATTACCCAGGATGCCAGCAACCAACATTCTAATCACCAGAGACCAGCAAGTCCACAGCATGAAGTGAGAGCCCACCAGCCAGCATATTCCCAGGCCCTTGCTTTCCAAATGCTACTCCCCACTAGATCCTTGCCTTCTCCATGGCTTCACTGCCTTTTATAAATTAGGAGATGTTGCTTTAATCGCGGGAGTAGGAAAAATCCCACCCAAGAGGGTAATTTCTTTGCATTTTTCATTTTTATAGTTGTTCAAGCTCAATTCAAGTGTCAAAATCAAATTACTGCTACCTGCAGGGCATGCCAGCTGATTGGGTCTATGAGATGCACTTTGCCCAGAATGACTAAGTGTCCTCTGGATTCCAGCTTCCCTCCTTCAACTCAACTCACAGACACCAAGAGGGGCGGGGAGCGGGGGTGGGGGACAGAGGAAGACTTGGCTTGCTAGTCGCTCACCTACTTTCTGACCTTGCAGGAGCTGACCTGCGGTGACCAGGTGTGCCATCAAGTGTTCAAAAAGAAGTAATGGCCACAAGGCGGCCTGCCGAGCATGTGCTTCACACTCCCCACCAAGGGTTGTCTGCGGGCTTTGGGAAGCGGCTGTGGGGACCCTCCTCCAGAGCCCGTTAAGGCATCTGGATGGGTTTTAAACAGAACAAATGTGTAACAGTTGCCAGACATACTCTTCCTTCTTTGAAACCTGACATTAAATGAATAAACAAAAATCACTCCCATACTTTGAAACTCTTTATATCTATCTCCCTTTATTTCTAGAACTGTCAGTTTTATCCACAGGCAAATGTGGGGATTGCCTGTGCAGTGGTTCTCTGTGAAGTTTTGTTGCGGTGGTTGTTGTTTAGTTTTTGGTTTAGTTTTGCTTGTTTTTTGTTAATTAGTTTGTTTGAGGGATTACTTTACCTAGAAACATTCTCTGGCTAAGACAGCATCCCCTCCTCATTCTTAAACATTGCCCTTTGATATTCATCCCTTTGGATAACACATTCATTTTTCCAAGATTCTATTTTAAGATGCCCATGGCTTCCAGTTTGTGCCTTCAGCAGCATGGGAAGAGCTACTTGTAAAGGTCTCTGCGGGTCTGCAGTACCAGCTGCTCTCAGTCCAGGATAGCCCTTTGCCCTTCAGCCCTGGGCAGAGTGGCACCCCTGCAGAGGACTTCCAAGCTCTGCCAAGGAAGCCTGAGTTCCAGTCTTGTTGCTCCACTTCTTAGTGGGTAGCCATGGACACATCACTTGGCCTCTCTCTCCTTGTTTTTCTCATTTATAAAATGGAAAAAACAAAAATACCATCTCCTCCACTGGATGGTCATGAGGAATAAGCAAGTCAGCACATACAGAGTGCTTGGAGTTGGGCCTGGCCCCATGGCAGGAGCAAGGTCCCTGCTAGCTCTGGTCATTAGGTAGAGTTACGCCCTCCACATCCCAGGGGTTCAGATGAGCGGAAGCCAGGTAGTGATGGGTCAGTACCCCCTGAGGCTTCCTGGTGATTCCAGGACATTACGTTTATTATTCTGAGCAGAATTATATTTTCCTGCTGGATACACAAATGTAATAGTGCATCTGGAAGAGCAGAGTGGTCAACAGGGACAGATTTATGGTGGATCACCCATGGGGTGCCCTGCAGGTCAAAGCCATTTCCTTTCCTCCCTGTAGCAGGGCCCAGAAGCCCACCATTAGGCAAGCATTACCTCTGAAAAGCAGATTTATCCCCAGGGAGGTAGCACGTAGTGTCAGCACACTCGGGGGGACTTGAATGAACAGATCATTCATTGATCCTGAGCATCCTAAATGGAATCAAGGATGGAGAATAAAGTTGTAATCTGTCCAAGTGGACCAGGGCCAGCCTTGGCCTAAGCCCTTGTGACCAGACAGCCATGCCATGGGCCTCCTGGCAAGCTGCTCTCCCCAACAGCCATACCACCTTCCTGCAGCAAGAAAGCCAGGGAAGTGCTGGGATGGAGTCCCACACTGGCAGGGGGAGGGGGTCTGCCCGTGGACTCTGGAGAGGAGGAGAGCCTCCTGAGGAGCTGCAGGCCCATCTCCTGGGGCAGACCAGGGACAAGTGCAGGGGCAAGTGAAGTGAGCTCTTTGTCCTCAGCTCCCCTGGAGCTTCTTCAGGAGCCTCAGTTCCTCTTGTGATGCCCCGTCCTGGTCTTGCCCTAGCCCACCACAGCCTCAAATCACCCTCTCCTTTGTCCTTCAAGAAAACCTTTGTGAATGAGATCCATCTGAAAGCCCATTGGGGACTAGCTATAAAGCGTGCTGTCCATGGCAGGGGTTCTAATAATAGGTAACTTCTGAGCCTTGGTTTTGCAAAGTGTATTCTAGGGGATGTTAGCCAACCACCACCACCTCCACCCATGATTCTGTGAAAAGGTTCCTGGTCAAATGAACTTTGGAAATGCTGAGAACTATATCGCCTTCTTAGAAATGCATAACAACAACAACAATAAAAAATAAAATAAAAAAAGAAATGCAGGGATCCCTGGGTGGCGCAGCGGTTTGGCGCCTGCCTTTGGCCCAGGGCGCGATCCTGGAGACCCGGGATCGAATCCCACGTCGGGCTCCCGGTGCATGGAGCCTGCTTCTCCCTCTGCCTGTGTCTCTGCCTCTCTCTCTCTCTGTGTGACTATCATAAATAAATAAAAATAATAAAAAAAAGAAACGCATAACAAGAATTCCTGTTTTTAAAGCTCTGAAAAGGGATCCCTGGGTGGCGCAGCGGTTTAGCGCCTGCCTTTGGCCCAGGGCGCGATCCTGGAGACCTGGGATCGAATCCCATGTCAGGCTCCTGGTGCATGGAGCCTGCTTCTCCCTCTGCCTATGTCTCTGCCTCTCTCTCACTGTGTGCCTATCATAAATAAATAAAAAATATAAAGTTGTTTTTTTAAAGCTCTGAAAAGTCCTGCAGCAAAGAAGCTGGACCTTAAACCCTGGGACCCTTTTACCCACATTTCACTCCGGCACAGTGTTTTGGGAACGCTGACTTGTTGCCATACGTGTGCAGAGCACTTTTTCAATTACAGATAACAAACAATATAATTTAAAACTCCCATTTCCAAGCGGGATTTCTCAGTATATTTTTTCCACAAATGAAGAGTAACTGAATGGATTAGTTTACATGTGGCGCACAAGACTGATAGTGACTATATTCATTCTACTGATCCTTCTTTTTCAACAAAGATGCACCTGTACTCAGAGGCTGTCGAATTTGAAGTGCTCATTTCCAAACCCAGCAGATATTCTGGGCCAGGGCCTGTCTCCCGGGCCTGCACTCAGTGTGGGTGCGATGGGGCAAGTCTCCTGCTTCATATTTCTGTTCCCTCAGCCTATTTCAGGGCTGAGCCATGACAGGAATGCTACCCCCCAGCATGGACAAGGCTGTTTGGGAGCAGAATGGAAGAAAACTGATCTTACACAGAGGAGGGGTGGAATTGCTGGGAAAGACTCTCAGAACCTCAGAAGGCAGCTTCTAGAGGTGTCATGGGAGAGGGCTGGCTAAGCTGTGAAGCGGGGTGGGGGCTGATCTTGAAACTTAAGGAAAGCTTGCCCCACGAGAAATCCCAGTTCATAAAGGGAAGCATCGTGCAGTCACTCCAGCGGGGGCTTTGGCCTCAGTCCTTGGTTCAAATCCTGCTCCACCACACCCCAGCTGTGCGACTGCACAGCCTCTATTTCTTCTTCTGCAGAGTGAGGAATGAGGGCTGTGAACCCACGTCACAAGAGTAGCTAGATGGAGCAGGATCTTAGCACAGGGCCTAACACCATAGGCAGTACTCGTTCTCCTCCCTAATTCCACGTATTTATACCTGCGTGTATGACGAGGTAATGATCCCTTCATTAAAACTCTTGCTTTCTAAGAGCTTGAACCCTGGGATCCCTGGGTGGCGCAGTGGTTTGGCGCCTGCCTTTGGCCCAGGGCGCGATCCTGGAGACCCGGGATCGAATCCCACGTCGGGCTCCCGGTGCATGGAGCCTGCTTCTCCCTCTGCCTGTGCCTCTGCCTCTCTCTCTCTCACTGTGTGCCTATCATAAACAAATAAAAATTAAAAAAAAAAAATTAAAAAAAAAAATAAGAGCTTGAACCCTGACATCCCTCACACAGCCCTCAGATTTGAAGATCACAGGAGGACTGATTAAAAAATACAGATTCCCGGCCCCTCCTCCTTCAAGATTCTGGCTCTGAGGCCATGGGCAGGGCCAAGGAATCTGTATCGTTACAAGGTCCCCGGGTGAGTCACCTGCAGGTGTTTGGCAGGCACAATAACAAGCCCTGCTTCTTTCATTTGAAGCAGGATCCATTTTAAATGCGTGTTCACCCACGTAGCCACACCTGCACACTCTCATGCAAAGCCCAATCCATCTCCACAGGTGGTCAAAGTGCAGGCGAACCGCCTACACATCTCTCTGTGAGGCTGTGTTGGCCCATGCGTGCTGAGCCCTGTAAGAGAGGTGTCATGTTCTCTGGAGCAGCTTCGTGGCAGCAGAGGCATTTGGGCTAAAAGATGGTACGGAGTGAAGCGGGGAGGGGAGCATAACAGAGAAGTGACTGCCATGAGCAAAGGCGCTAGGCAGAAAATGGTACAGAAGGTTGGAGAAAGTGCCTGCTGACAGTGGAAGGGAGGAGGCCAGGGAGGGAAGGTTGCTAGCTCAGACTAGAGTCTGTTGTGAATGCCGGGAAGGGCCCCAGCAAGAGGATCATGGGAGCCAGTGCAGGCTTCTGAGCACAGAGTGATGTGGCCTGAGACATGGGCCAGGAAAAATTCAACAATACAGCTATTGTTGGCAGGACAGATGGAGGTGGGGAGGAGGACGCAGGTTCACCTGTTCAGAGGCTATTGTAATAAGGAATTCTGGGGAGAAGCAGTGAGGGATACGTGTCAGGGCCAGCGAGTGGCCATGGGATGGAAGGGAAGAATGTGAGAGGCACTTAAATTTAGGAGGCCTTGCACTAGGCAATGGTCACATGACACTCACAGAGGAGGTGAGGCAACAAAGATGGAAGTTTGGGGAAATGGGGGAAGGATGATCCTCAGCAGGGCTGGATGGAAGATTGTGGATTTGGCTTAGGCCTATTGCATGTGAGGTGGCAATGCAATGACAGCCAAGGCCAGCAGGCCCTCTCTCCAGTTGCCCACTGCCACCCTGCAATGGCTCGATGTTATCCGCTTCGTGAACCTACTAGCCCCCAGGTACTGGGGAGGGATGAAGGCCTGGGCTGGGGCTGGGACTTAAGGAGCACCAGGCTGCCACAGAAGCTTTTGAGGCAGGGAGTGCTGGTGCCCCCAGGAGGGAGGGGAGGGGAGGGGAAGGGGTTCTCTCTAGTTTATCCTCCACCCCACACACTCCCCAAAGCACAGGAAGGTCTATATAAGTACAGCTAGGCAAGTCAACACAGAGCAAGCGTATTTCCAGCCACACATGAGGCCAGGCCTGGGTCTTGAATCAAAGAGAGGATAATAGGCCTTTTGTCAAGTACCTCCTCCGTCCTGGAGCTCTTTCCAGTCTATGATGGAGAAACCCTTTTTACACATGAGGAAACTGAGGTTTAGACATGATCAAGCACTCAGCCAACCCCCTAGGGCTGGTACGAGCCCAGGAAGACTTTGAACCCGGGTAGGTCTGTCTCCAGAGTCTGAGACCTTCCAGCCAGGAGGTGGTTCCTGGTAGGAACCAGTGGCCCTCCCCATTCCTGGATGTCCAA